CTTTTAGTTTCTAGTGTTTTCCCCCGGTACATCTCTTATGCCCCATCCTGTATATGGACTGCAGCTGTAGAAAGAATGAACAAATTAAGATGCTTATGTTGGTAATTATTTCAAGCCTAGTATTCCTGAACAATGCCTTTTCCCAGAGAAGTAAAGGTACAAATGGAAGAAGGTTAAAGCTGTGTAGCTCAAGTCAGTCTCATTTAAAATGAATTGTGAGAGAACAAAATACATGTTATATATAATTAGCATCTTAAAACTTCATGTTATTGTGTAGTTCTGTGCTAACAGCACATACAAGAAACGCTTAAGGAGAAAGATTAACAGCGTTTCCTGAAGGCTTCAAGGCCACCAATTCTCTGAGTATTTCATAGTGAAACTCTGTGTTTCTGCTTTCTGATGTGTGTTAAATATTTGGAGAATGAGTTAGCTTGGTTGGTTTTCTTTTTCTTTTCTTTCTTGGTAGAACCTAGTATTTAAAATTCACAGTCACTGAAATACATATGCTATGTGAGAAGAAAATGTAGACTGTTGGCTTATCTGTAGACATAAGCAGAGGTTGGCATTAAAAATCCTCAACAGTTGCTGCATTTGAGAGATCCAGGTTTGTAGCAGTGTTCAGATGACCATATCACACAGTAATTTTCAAAAATTATGTACAGCATCCAGTTTTTGCCCTCAGATAACAGTTTCTGTAATATCTTTTGGGAATATTTTTTTATTTGCAAGTCTTGTAATGTGAAATCTTTGGGTTGCTGAGGAAATCACTGCTTATTATTGTCGTAGTACATCTGTAATAAAACTAGGTAAAACTTTCTTACCATAAATGGGATCATTCTCACTTTGAAAAGTTAGTCATGACTCCTCCTGGCATGTCTTCAGATAAGAGTCTTCTGAGCTTTTGGTTTATGACAAAATGTTGAACTTAGCTGAATTTTGTACACCTGAGAATCGATTAAAAAAAAAAAAAAAAGAATGCTGCACAAAAATAATTGAATAAACCATGGTGGAGATGGGCAAAATGTTTCAAACTCCTTAAAGTTTCAGCTCTTGGGATTGATGCCAGGTGTTGGGCTGGATGATTTTAGACATCCACATCTGAAAGTTCTTTCTGGCTAACTCAGCAGCCTTGTCTGGATGACTGGGCTTTGAGCCATTCCATTGGAGACCCAGGGCTTGTAAGAATCTGTGTGGAAATGATGGTTGTAGTGAGCTTTTACTTTCTAGAGACATGACTTTGTATGCATTATCATTTTCAGATTTTTATACACTTCTGTAGCATTATTTTTTTTTTAATCTTGAACAGTCAAAGCTACATGTGCTATAATTGTCAGAAATCAGCCTCTCTAAAATATTGAGATATTGTCATTAAAATTAAAGTACTACTGGCTCTAACTCCATGGGAAGTGATTCTTTATGGACAGCTTACTTTTATAATTACACATCAGAAGTCATGTAATTGAGAAGTAGTTAATATAGAATGATTAACAGTAAAAAAAAAAAAAATTAATAGCTCCTGTCTATATTGTCCAAAAAGCTTTCCACTGCTCCCATTGGAGATGTTTATTAATCAAAACATGCACAGTATATCATTAAGGTATTTTCTTGCGTGATTGATTGACTGAGTTAGTTGTTTAAAGGGGGAGGGTTGAAGTACCTAAGTATAATGGGAGGCAGAGAAAAAGGGAAGAGAAATTGACTTTCTTCAGGAGACATATTAGCAAAGCAAATGAACAATTTTTGCTTGGTAAAATCAGCATTCATTTTAGCATGCTAGAGACAGTGCATTATGTAGAGTGTCGTGCAGGGCTGAAGGTCAAGGCTTGCTTCATTTTTTTCAGTGATCTGTTATATACTCTCATGTAGTTGGGGTCACTGATGCTTTCAGAGAGGAAAACAAAAAAGGGAAAATGGCAGCAGGAAGAGATTCATGGTATCTTAACTATCATTGTAATGTGCACACACCACCATAATCAAACTCAAGCACACTGAATATGCCAATTAGTTGCTCCAGTAGCAGTGAAGCAATTAAAATGAATAGACATGTCTTTGCCATAAGATGTAGATGGAATAGAGGGATGAGCTTCCTTCCTTTCTCATGCTGTTGTCACCCAAATACATTGTATTTTCTTTGCCTACCAAGTTTAATACTGTAAAAAGCAGAATACCACTTGATGAGTGTTTTTCCATTCGTTGTTTATTCTTCCTCTTTCCAGACTGGGGACTATTCTGTATAAGACACAAAATTATGTATTTGTGTTATTGTAGAGTCTGGGATTGCTACCCATAGAGCTTTCTCTCTAAAGCAATTCATTCCATATGGGTGGGATGCTATAATTGTGTCTATGCAGATGCTGAATCCAGTTACAATAAGCAGTAACCAAGGCTGTTGTTTTCTCAGAAAAATGCAGAAGAGCTGGCGACCAAAGCCAGCTATTAATCTGCCCTATTAGTACATGGACAGAATAACTGATACTTGTTTCTCCTCCCATATTCTCCATTACTTTCTAGGCTAAATTTTTTTGTGCAACTAGTGTACACAGAAGATTCAAAACCTGCTATATTACAGTTCCCTTCTTCCAAAAATGGGTACTTCCCATAGGCCTCATCTGAACATGGTCTGAGGACGAATGGTCTGAGCAGCTAAACTGTATTGTGTCCACTCTGTGCTGTGCTGCCCAGCGCTAATACTGAATGATAAACCCCCATGGATCCTTCTTGTAATGATATGATTACTTTTCTGGAAATATTTCCCAAAATTCACTCTTTCTTTCCCCCTCCCTTCTGGCTGTTTCCCTGTTTTTGTACTTCCTTCTGAGGTATCTGGCTGTGGCGTAGGCTTCTGCTGAAGTATATTTATGCCATACTAGATGCCCCCATTCTCTTACCAGTATTATTTGTCTTATTAACATATGAAATGTTTTTCTGGATATTTCTATCTATAATCTTGCACAGCTCAAAACTCACTGAACTAGAACTCAAGCCTTTGGTGAGTTTTTAGGTACTTTAGGTTGTTCCTGCAACTCCAAGCTATGTGAGCTATGAACTCAAAACTCCTCTGTTGTGAAATACCATGTAAATGCCTTGTTGCTGTGTCTATGGTTTTAAAATCACAAAGCAGCTAGAAGTGTGAAATATTAAGCATATCCTTTTATGCACTTAGAATTTATGGTGACTTCAAAGTCAGTCCTCATTTATTGTCTGGTTTGTTTCACTTCAGAAATGACTTGAACTGTGAGCAAAAAGGATCTGACAGTATTTTGAGATAGGCACTTTGTAGTTGTGCACTTTACAGCTATACGACAGGACTGTCTCTGTTGCCTTGAATGCAAAATTAGCTCGTTGATACATGCTGCTACAGACAGAGGAACAGATGTAGTAATTCTACTTTATTTACATGAAATCTCTAAAAAGGCATTTTCTGGCAGCATGCTAGGAATAAATACAGTATCAAATATAACCCGCGCCATGCTATGGTAGCTCATTCAGGTGTCAGCTGTGCCATTTAGATGTGGGCGAGAGCAGGCAGTTGAATCCCTCCCAGCAGAGCTGGGAGCTCTCCCACACTTGGCACCCTAGTGCCAGCCTGCTCCCACTGTGGCCTGTCAGTGGGTTTTTGCTGCAGGAGCGTGCCTTTCCCTCTGCCTATGGGCTGGGCACCCCAAACCCTGTCTCTAGCCCTTGGGCTGGGGCTCTGGGGAGGGGCGAGGAGGGATCTACCCTGCTCTCCCACCCACTGATAACTCCCCTGTTGGAAGTCTAGAGGAAGCTATCAGATGTCCTGGTTTTTGGTTGGTGTTTTTTTTGTTTGTTTGGTTGGTTGGTTTTTTTTTTTTTTAATTACCATTTTTCCCCATTAATTTTTATATTTTTTTCTTTTTTTTTTTTTTTGAAGTAGGAGATTCTCAGATTCTGTTACCTTTTTTCCTTTTTTTTAATTTTTTTCCCCCCCTCCCCTTCATTTTCTGTGAGTTAGAGCTCCCCTAAGCTCATGTTTTCAAGCTTCTTTTTCATAGCTAGGAGGCTCAGGAGCTTAACTGTGAGGATAGGAAATTGTGGGGGAGGAAGGGACTTTTGGGGTGGGGTTGTGTGTGCAAACCACAGAGAAGTCCAACACGTCTTACCTTAGTGAAAAAGTGAGGCTTAAGTAAAACTTTGTGAGCCTCTTGAGCCAGGAATATGAGAACTGGAGAGTGATGCTGAGCTGGCTGCATTGCAAGGCACCGTGCCCTTTCCCCTTCCTTCCTCCTCCTTTGCCACTGTGCAAATGCTGAGGAAGGAGTGATCATCATTGTGCTCTCCATCACTACTTCACTTAACAGGTTTTAGCCAGGCAGCTGCATATATTAAGTTCTTTCTTTTTTCTCTCTCAAGTATTCGAACTTTCCTATGTGGGGTTGGGGATGTTTATTCAGCTTATGAGCACGCAGACGCATTAAAGATGAAATGCCTTGACTCTGAACTACAGGCAGAAGTGGTGGGAGGAGATGCAGCTAATTTAACTTGGAGGTTGATTGATGTGAATATGTCAATTTCTATTAATATTCTTCTTAAATCAGTGACGCAAGTGTGGTTTTTTTCCCCCCACCCCAACAGAAAATATAAATAGAAAGACAACAAAACAATCCTATCCTTTTAATTCACAATACTCAGAAGCAGATAAGGAAACTGTTGTTTAAGAGTGTCCTCCACAAGCTGGTGAAAAACAGCTTATGGTGGTGTTCTTGCCCCTTTAAGAATATCAAGATGCTCTAACATTGCTATCCAGTCGCAGCTAAAATGCATAAAGCACAAAAAAGCAAGTCACCTACAGGTAGACCTAGATAAATTGCTTAAAAATGTTCCATTCCCTCATTAGATAGCCATTCATTGCGTAAAAGCAACTAAAGGTGTAGCTATAAAAGCCATGTTTAAAATGAAAGAGAGTTGAGAGTGTGAATGCTCAGCACTGTTATTCAGAAGTAGCTTTCGAGCAGAGTTTCAACGGGAAGATGCTGTTTGGCTGGACACAAATCAGCAAATGTTTAGCTGAAGTGTGAATAATTCAAGCGTGCATGAAGAGGCGTGCTTTCTGAAGAGACAAAACGTGAGAATAAAAAAATTCTTCAAACATTTGCATCAGCCTTAGAGGACAATGCGAGCAGCAGGATTTGAAACAGATTTGCAGATGCACTCTTTTTAGACAGGGAGAATGCTCATTATATGCAAGATGCTTCTGTGGCTCATGTGTTTGCACGGAGGTAGAGGTTTGCAAGACTGACGTATCGGATAAAGTCAGAGTGGTTACCACACCGACGGTGTAGCAGCTGCATAATAAATGATGGAGAGAATCATGTTAGGCATGCCCACCTAACCTAACTTGAATCATGCGAAAGGGGAGCTGCTGGAATTCAAATAGACTTTCTGGTTCCCAGCAGTCGGCAGTAATAGAATGCTTTCAGGAAGATGACAGATGCAGGGGAAAGATGCTGTTTTGCACTATCTTGATTTGTTACGGCAGCCAACTTATTGGCATGATGGAGTGACAAGAAAAGCAGCTGGCATGGAAGGTAGGATTATCAAAGCTATTGCATCATTATGAATGTAATTAGAAACTGACCATGACAAAGCATATGCTAGAATGAGCTGCCTCCTCTGGCAGAGGATTTGTTGCTGAGGTCTTGAAACTCTGAAAACAACATTCCTTGTGCAAAATGGATTTTGCAGTTTCATTTATGCTTGTGTTACCCTTTCTTTCCTGCTCGCCTCCAAGCTCCGGGAATCGCTTGCTTGAAAGAGAGTGTTGTGTTACGATGATACTGAAGAATAAAGTATTTTCTAAGTCTGTGAAGCCTCAGGTAGAGAGAAGCAAACATGCGAAACAAGACTAGGAAAGGCTCCCTTTGATTCACTAGCAGACTCTGATTGATGTATTGGCATATTCAGGAATCCCGAGGAAATGAAGATGCATGTACTGAATGCTTTGGTATAATGAAAAGATATTATTGCACGTCTCTGCTTTATAGATAGTTGTGTTGTTTTTTGTTTTGTTTTGTTTTGTTTTTCTGACAGGTTTTATTCTCCATTAGTTTTTAGCTCTTGATATTTATTCAGTTGTTCAGTATTATATAAAGAAAATACATCAGTATCTCCTACAGGGTTTCTCAACAACTCCGTCATCTGTTTCAGCTATTGAACTGTATTCACGTTTTGCCAACTTGATGCCTACCCAGCTGGTCTATCATTTCTTGCTTGATTACTGCTCTTAATTTCTCTGTATCAGCTTGTTTCAGACAGGATTTTGAAAGCTGTTAATGAGAAATGACAGTAACTGCTAAATTATTGAAAACTGGAGTATTCTGTTATTTTTGAAACATCAGAGAGCATTTTTATATGCATTTTATTAAATTCAGATTCTGTATTGCAGCAAGGTTATCATTTAATCACTGAATTTAGCTGTGAATACTTTAAACTATATGAGTCACAAGCATAACTTTCCACTGACTATTTTGAGAAAGTTTGAGAAAATTTACAGTTGCTTTCTTTGGTGTATGCATCATCTTAATATATGTTCCTTCCTCCTGTCCACTTCCTCCCTCCCTCTCTCTCCTACCCCCCTACCCTCCCCCAATATATACTCCCTCTCTGTCACAGTAACTGGTCATTAAGTGTATACTGTACATATTGAAATATTTTTTTATCACCACTAGGGTGGAAACACTAAGCAGCTCCGGACAGGTGATTTGAACAGGTTTAAAACAGACGTCAGCTCTATCGGAGTGGGTCACCCTCGATCTCAGAAGTAAAAGTGGTGATTTCTAAATGTAAGGCAGGATCTCTCTTTCCTTCCTCTTTGGAGTTGCAACAACCATTCAAACACTGCTTGGTAGCTTGCAGGAGATGATTATGTTAAATTATTTGCTTTATTTTGCCTTGCAAAATGCTTTTGTTCAATGTAAACTCCCTTATTCATCAGGTATATAATTTTTTCCAAGGTGATAAACAACAAATCTCTTGTCATATTAGATATTCATTTTTCTGATTTTATTTTAAATGATTTTGCAGTCTGAACTCTATGTAGTCTTGTCAAAAGGAGAACAGGCTATTAGACACTAAATGTTGCTGACTGAAGCTGTAACAGTTTGAGAAAGATAGATGCTTCTAGATACACAGCAGTGAACCAGCCTTAGAAAGTTTGAAGGTAAAGATCAATAAAACTGATATACCAATAGCTATTTTGAGCGTTTGCCTGTTTTGATCATCTCTGAGAGACATTGTAAATTATTTTGTAACTGCTGGGAGGGGAGATATACTTCTTAATGGAGAGGTTCACTACAGGGCTTGTATAGCCAAAAATAGTTCTGTAGTTTTGATGACAATAATAAAAAAATCTTTATTCTACTTCAAGGAAGTTCTGTTAAATTTAGAAATAATTTTTCCTTGTTGTTGATGATGAAACCCTAGAGAGAATAAGCCATATAAACAGCTTAAGTGCCATTCACCTTTTCAGGGTAGCAGTAAAACTGTTTTATATCGCGTGTGTTACTTTTATACCCCAGAAGCAGGTAGTCGCTCCTTGTCTCAAGAGTGTTGGCTGGCTATCATTGGACAGTAGTTACTTAAAATGGTCTTTTCCTTGTGACACTGGTAAGCATAAATGCATGCTGCCTGTGGCCATCATCCAGCTGACAAGCGATTTTTATAGTTTGCCTCTGTTTTATCTATAGTACCTGGTTTTAGCTGTTTCACTGATGAATTAAGAAGACACTAGGTGGAGCTAGCTGTTGATTATAAATAGAGCTACAGTAATACAGGCCTGTTTAATGAGGAAGCCTCTGTATATAATGATGATTATTAAAAATAACAATTTAAAATGTTAAGCATTTAGTTGGACCTCAGCCATGAAATTCTAGATCTGGTGGCATTAGAAAAAAAAACAATTTCTCCATTTTCCTTTTATTATTTTACAAGAAGGTAATCAAAGATGAAAAAATAATAAGGGAAAAGCATCTACATTCAACAAAGAGGACTAGGAAGCAAAAGAACGGAAATAGAAGTAGAAAAGAGGAGAGAAGCAGCTGTAAGAGCCAGCAGATGTTTCCACTGTAGATACAAAATTGGATATCTGCATGTATTTGACTGTCTTTAGCCTGATGCACATAGATTTTCTATTATCCTTACATATAAATCCTTTTTCCATTCTGTCTTCCTGAATTAAATTGTAGAGCTGACATGTTTCAATTTATATATAGATGCGGGACCAGTGTTTGCAAATCTCATCTTGGAAGGGTGATCTAAAAGGTGTCCAAGGGCACAGGAAGTTATCACATGTTGGATGGCCATAATTAAGAAAAATATAAGGGGTTATATATTGAGGGAGGTGGAAGCTGTTTGTATCTGCTCCTTCATATGATTCTGATTATTAATCCCTGTCAGGGATAAAAAATACTTAGTCCTAGACAGTGTGATAATACAAGAAAAATACTTTCATTTCCACACAGATTTACAGCTCTGTACCACAGATATAGTATGTACATTAATTTGACAAAAAAGAGAGACAAATCAGGGTTTATTTTGATACTTAGGTACATGAACTGAAGAGGACATCTTCATGTCCTCTGTTGAGTGAAGCACTTGCAGGTTCAGTCAATGCCTTGTTCTTATTGCAGTGAAAGGGAATTGGAGTCAGGAGATGCTCAAGTCAGTGAGGAGAACTTGCCCAGGAGAGAAATGACAGCTGTCTGACACTCCAGAAGTAAAGTTTTGAAGACTAGAGATTAACCATTTTGAGCATTGTCCATAGAAACTTGAAATTTTAGTTCTGAGCTGGCAATGTGAGTTAGAACGGCCTTGAAAAGATGCTGGACAAAACCAAGTTGAGCTTGAACCTATTGCTTGTTAGCGGAGCCTTGCAAGAAAGCAGTGCTGCATCATCTACCTGAAGAGACCTTCTGGTTATGAGCTGCGCAGTTGATGCTCAACGCCATGAGCATGTGAGGAGGTCAGGTATAGTGCAGACAAAGTTTGTTAGTTTTCCAGATCATTCAGTGTTTTATTGAGGCTAGACCATGATTATTTTTTGTTGTTGCTGTTTTTAATGGATAGTTGTAACCAGAAACAAAGCCTTTGAAATGTGTGAGGATGTCAGTACTTCTACATCTGCTTCCCGTACAGTTTTGACTGCCAGCACCCCGGGATCTCTTTGCTTTGAATGAGCTCATCCTGATGTGTCCTGAATGTTTCTTCTGACAAGATGATGTGTGTAGTGTAGCAGCACTTGGCTTTCTGATGCTGGTCAGCTGCTGCTTCACTCAGCTGGTGGTTCCTGCTGAACAAATTCTAGTCTAGAATTACCCACGGTGTGGGTGTTTGACCACCTTGGGAAAGGATCATGAGAAGCTGAGCCAGGAGAAGAAGGAAATGTACTCCTCCTCTCTATCACTAAGATCTATCCATTGTAAATTTCACTGGAATGAGGAGGAGGGTAGGAGGAGGAAAAATGGCAGTGAAAAGTGAGGAATGAAGGGGCTTCAGGTGTTCATGAGACTGTCATTTGATGTGGTCTAGTGTGAGATGTCCCTGCCTATGGCAGGGCAATTGGAACAAGATGATCTTAAGGTCTTTTCCAGCCTTGATCATTCTGTGATTCTATGATTTTATAATCACTTTGCAAAAAACTTAAGGAAAGGCACATGTGGGAGTAAAGCTTGTCCAAGGGATATTATTGAGCATCTGGTTATGCACTGCCAAAAGCTTGCTACAAAGAAATATTACATCTAATCAAAATGTATTAATAGATTAAGCCTATTAGCAAAGAAGGAAACATTTTTGTTCAAACTCTGTGGGCTTGTTTATTTTTACTGTGTGACAAAACTAAAATTGGTGAGGGGTGTGTGTGTATGTATTTGATAATAAATGCTAAAGAGTGTCCTTTCTCCCTACCCCAGATTAGGGTTATTTTTTCTCCAGAGGATTAAACCATCTATCCCTGAAATCACATAGTTTTAATCTCCATCGGAAATGCTGAGATTTCCAGAAGCTGCTAGTTGTTGCTGAGCACCATGTTAACTTTCTGCTTGATGCTGGAAAGAGTGAAGGGCAGAGGAAGAAAACCTCTGTACAGTTGTTGGACTTTGGTCAGCAAAGACATGCAGAGAAAAGGCTGATGTTTTACGAAGTCTGATATATTAGTGCTTCCTCTTCTCATTCTGGTGAAATCAGAGTAGAAGATCGCTGCATTTGAATTGGAAGTAAGAAAGCCTCCAGATTGCTGCTTCACTGCTTGTCATAGTGGGTGGATATAGCCTGTCTACTTCCGAAACTGCAAGGTAGTTTAACTGATTCCAAGTGATTCTTTGCAGAAATGAGGTTATGAATGCAGTTGTTGTGAAGTTCTTGCAGAAATGTCCTGAATGTGATAGACCTAGTAATGCAGTCATGAAGAAGGGAGAGCTGAAATGGAGAGGTGAAAGAAGTGAAATCAGGGACCTACCATAAATGGGAGAAAAAACAAGTAATAATAGTTTTGCTTGCATCTTCTTTATTATTTTTTTTTAATTTATGATCTGAGCATCTGTACATCAGAATAAGGGTGCAAGGTGCACCTGTTCATAAAAATCAGGAACCTTCGTCTGCACTGCAGTTTCTTTAGTTTTTGTATCTTTAAAATAGATTTTAATCTTAAAAAAAAGGAAATCAGAAGAGTAAAACAAGATTAGGCACAGTGTTTTTCATTAGTATCCTTGAGTTACCCACCTTAGATTTTCATATTGAAACACTGTTCTTAACAATGTGTTTCTTTTATTTATGTATCCCTGAAGATATTGCACATAGAGCAACTGGTACCCTGATACCCTGACTTGCTTGGTGAAGTCAGAAACAAGATGCTGAAATGGTCGGAGATATTTTTGGTTTTGACCAATGCTGAGAAAGATTCTTTTCATCCACTTGCTTCCCTCCCTTCCTCCCTCCCTCCCGCCTGTGTCTTGTCACAAGTGGGGAAAAGGAACCAGAAAAAATTAAAGCAGAATTTGAACAAAAACTAAGCTACTTGAAACTTGTGTTTTCTTAATCTATATCTAGTTTCACCTTCACCTCTGTGTCCTGATGCTTAAGAATAAAGAGCATGGAGAATTTCTTTTATAAGGTCAACTTCTTTCAGCTAACACACTAAGTAAAACCACCACGTGCTGTTTTCTCTAGACTTTCTTTTTATGAACAGCCTGTTATTTTTATATGGCTATTAAGTGGATTGTATGTTTTTGCAACAATTAATGCAAAGATTTTCTGACAAGATTCATATTTTTTTTAACCATTTACATATTCCCACAGTATGTTTATATTTAACATGCCTTTATTTCGTCTTATTACAAAATAACGTTTATAATGGGAACTCGTGTAATTTTATACTAATGGTCCCAAATGATATTTAGTAATTATCCCCTAGGTACAAACGCCACTTTTTCAAAGGGCATACTGGAATATTCACCTATTTGTTTAAATGAAGGCTTTTGCCAAAGACCAGACTTTTCACTTTTGCAGTCCCAGGCTGCTTTTCATTCACTGTTGGTCTAGTATGAGATAAGGATTGTAAACACTGAGAAATGCAACCTGTGTGTTTGTAGTGAGTGCAGGCCCTGAATTATGACTGAATAAAATTTGATAGCAAGGCAGAAAAGTACAAAATAACTGCACATACATGGGAAATGTCATATCTCTATTTTTCCAAGCCATAATGAATGGAATATTTTAAGATTGATGTTTTGGTGAAATAGTTTGAAATAGAATTGAAATACTCAGTGATTGAAGTTAAAATTATGAAGAATTTTAAGATGTGTATGATTTAATGTCTGTGATGACTCTCAGACAAGTAGTCAAATTACTGACTTGGCATTTCTAAGTGGCCTGGTTTTAGACTACCAAAAAGTGCAAGGGTTGTTTATTTTATGAATTAATTTGTTTCTTAGGAAAACATTTCAAAAACAATGAAATTAATTGCCAGCCCAGTTTATCTTGTGATTAAATCTTTGTATGCATGTGTCTCTTCAAATATTTCTTCAGAAGTGAAGAACAGAAAGCATGTCACAGATGTTGGTAAATCCCAGTAGCAAGTTATATTTATTCCTGGGCTCTGTTATTTTTCACGACTTCAGAAATAATAAATATTAGGTAAATGATTAGCTGTGATACAACCTGAACCAAGATCAAGCAAATCCTAAAACAGTTAGGGTTATGAAGAGAATCTCAGGCTACTAAATTAAGGATGTATCTAGGAGGCAGAAAATGAAAATGCTTGATGTACCTTGGCACCTTATGCAAACCAAAACCAGTACCACTACCTGAGCTAAGAATGCAGATCAGATATGGTTTGCTTCTGTCAGAGAAGCTATGCTTTAATTTTAGCAAGTAAAAAGCAGCAATACCTCATTGTCATAACACCTAATCCCACAGTTTTCTTACAGGCGCTGTTTGTTAAACTTTATAGACCTAAATGTGACTTCCAATCACCAGCATTAGCTAGAGCATTAGAGCAGATAATAAAGGTCCTGTAACTGTAAAGAACTGGTATGTTGCTGAAGTGTATCAATTAGGTTTATTCCACTGCAACAAGCAAATTAATTTTGCAGGAGTACTTTGTGAAACTGATATTTAGTGTGGGTTTCTATTTTATGTGGCTGACACATCAAATAAGCAGCAGCCCAAGCAGCTCTGTTGGACTACATGTATCACATAGTTCCTTAGATCTGTCTAAGCCTAGGGAGCAGCACACTTATTAATTTATTGCTATTTAATGCAAACATTTTATTATTTATTGTGTGACAATAATGTATGTGGCACATGACAAAGCGCACAGAAAAGTGACTTCTTTGCTCTAGGGAATGATACATAATTAATGTGAAGGGTCTGCTTCATATCTTCAAAACCAGGCACAGAATGATGGCTGCTAACCTTGACCAGCTGTGAAGCTGTAATATACCCTAAGCAGAAATGGCATTGAATTTTGTGAACCTGACACATAACTTGAGGATTTTACACTGAATGATAATTGTGTCGCACAGAGATAAACCACCCATTGATGTCTCTGAGATGCCATGGAAACACAGAAGTATTAGTTGTTGCAGTGTCTGTGTGAGCCAGAAATAGGTGTGTCATTGGGAATCCTTCACAACCTGTACTTCAATAGAAATACTGAAACTGAACGAGTGGGAGAAAAAACATCTGCATTGAAAAAGAGAAAATATTAACTAGCCCTTAGATGTGGGAAAGGTAGAGGTGTCAACTTAGACAACCAGCTTATTCTGCTGTTGCATGAAGCAGCTTGTTGGTATCTGCCAGGTCAGGACCATAATATTTTTTACCTGAGCAACAATCTCAGGACAGTTGTATGGGTTATTGTAATTCAAGAGCGAAGACCTCAGCTATCTGTTTTTTGTTGCAGCATAGTTTTCTGGTTTAACACCTTGCCCTAGGATTTGTAGAAATACAAGAAAGCACAATAAAACTATTGAGGAGAGGTGTATCACTGCAGAAATCGTCAGTTTTATTTTGTTCTCTGGGATTTTATTTGGTTCCAGCTCTCTCAAGTGAGTTTAAAGGGAAAAGAAACTAATACTGGTACTACTAAACAGATCCACGTTGACAAGACTGAAAAAGCAATTGTTTACCCCCAGCAGAGGTACAGGACTGGAAGCATTGGTCTCACCCAAATCAGCACTCCCGGGAGAGGCAGAGAGAGAACAATGGAGAGAGGTTTTGGGGGTGGTGACGCCTGTTTCTAAAGTGTGTGATTTGGTGCGGGTGGAAAGGTGAGGGGCTTCAGAGACTGCAGGGGTGACTTCTATCAGAAAAAGCTAGGGCTGCTCCATATGGGACACAGTTGGTTGCAGCGACCTCTGATGGACCCACTGCAGGGCACAGCTGAGCCCCTCGGCCAAGGTGGGGGTGCCTTAGGGAAAGACTTTAAGGAAGGGAAAAGCACTGCCCTACAGGGACTGAGGTGGGGGAAAGTATGAAATGGCAGGAGGAAGATGGAGGAGGGGAGGAGATGCTGCAGGTGCTGGGGGAGAGATTCCTCTACAACCCTTGGAGAGAAGACCATGCTGGAACAGGTATCTACATTAGGGATAGGCTGGAGAGTATGGAACTCTGTCTGGGGACAGATGATCAGTTAACAGAGCGTTTGTGGGTCAGGGTTAAAGGGAAAAAGCTATGGGAGACGTTACTGTGGGGATCTGTTACAGACCGCCTGATCAAAAAGAACCTGCGGATGAAGCACTCTATAGACAGATAGGAAAAGCCTCACACTCCCAAGCCCTTGTTCTCATGGGTGACTTCAACCACCCTGACATCTGTTGAAATGACAGTACAGCCTGGCACAAGCAATCCAGGAGGTTCCTCGATTGTGTGGAAGACAACTTCCTTCTGCAAGTAATAGAGGAGCCAACAAGGAGAGGTGCCATGCTTGACCTCGTGCTCACCAACAGGGAAGGACTGGTTGGAAATGTGATGCTCCAGGGCAGCCTTGGATGCAGCGATCACGAGATGGTTGAATTTGAGATCCTCAGGAGAGTGAGAAGAGCATGCAGCAAGCTCACTGCTCTGGGCTTCAAAAGAGCAGACTTTGGCCTCTTCAGGAACCTGCTTGGTAAGGTTCCATGGGATATAGTCCTAGAGGGCAGGGGGGCCCAAGACTGTTGGTTGATATTCAGGGATCACCTGCTACAAGCTCAGGAGTGCTGCATCCCAACTAGAAGGAAGTGCAGCAGGAGGGCCAGGAGACCTCATTGGATGGATAAGGAGCTCCTGAGGAAAATTCAAATGAAA